AACTATTTTAGTCATGAATGCATTTAAGTGGCAATGCACAGATGTCCTGTGACTCAGCACAGAACAATAAAGCTTAGTTAAAGTTACAGAAGAGCTCTTTAAAAGATGTTTATCTGTCTACATTGTTTCCTTCATTTAGATGTTGCGATATGATGCCCCCCCCAGACCTTTAACATGATATAGAGAAAAGATAGATAGAAGAGAAAAATCATACTTGCTACAAACACAATTAATTGATTGATATAAATGATTGATTTAAAATGTTGAATGTTTTTTTTCTTGCAAACATTAATTAGTACCAGTATGTTTTTTACTTACTTACATTTTACATATTAGGATTATATCATCACAAAGCTCTTAAAGTTCATAAATGATCTTGAACTTGACTTGTTGAACATATTGAACCCAATGGAAGACCAATAAATGCATTCACACTACTTCCTACTCTCCTACATCTTTTCTACTACCATCACGTTTCTTCCTGGACAAAGCAGAGACTCGGCATCATATTCACATCTATATTCATTTGGATGGGAGTGGAAGCATCAATTCCACAACACGCCTCAGAGACATCTGGTTCCCTGCAGGCCTCGTGTCAGAGCCACACTTCCACGCAGGTGCATTCCCTTTATGTTGGAGATGAGCAGAGCACAAGCGGTGCAGAGGAGATCGATCCGCCCTGGGAAACTCTGTCTCTGCATGACATGAGCTTCTAACATAAAGTGAGAGGTCACCCAGCCAGAGTCAGGCCGGCACACATGTGCCCATTAGACAAGCGTGTGCAATGACGCAAATGTAAACACACATGTACAAGCGTGATTCATCCTCTTCATCAAACTTCTGAAATTCCATTATTAAAACTTATATTCCTAACTCACCCATATTAGCTTCTAAAATATCTTAACTTTAACATTTTTCTGACAACAATCCTAATGTTGGATGAAGTTGCCTTGCAAACATCTTCCAGCAGCACCACACCCAGTTAACCTGCCTAAGTCTTAATGATTCAACACCTCAGTAATGAGGTCTAGGTAATTAACAACAGTATCACTCTTTTCTCTTTTTAAGCAGTACAGCTTGTAATTGGAGGAAAATAGGATTTCTCACATGATATTCAGCTTTTTTTAAACAAACGACATAGTCCTGCTCTAATCTGATACATACAAATGTAACTATACCACATTAGTTAGCATTCTTTAGAGGCACCACCTGAAAATGAGCAGCTCCCATCGAGCTGAACAATCTTTCTGTTCATGCACACCACTCTGAATTGTGATCTCAGGGTGTAGAGTCGGTATAAAAGTGTTACCGTTTATAACACAGTACTCTTGATACATTTTTCTTGTCAGCTGCATGAGTGAGTTGAACAGAGCGATAGTGGGAAGTCAACACTGAACCCAGCCCCTGTGATGTGTCTTTCCCCGTGGGCCTACTATATCCAGATTAAGGGAGAGTTCACAGATAGGCGACAGGCTCCAGCACCCATATCCAATCAGACGGTTCCCTCAGGGGAACCATGTGCTGCACACATATGTGGCCACAGCCTCACAGCATGATACCATGGTGTCCTCCAGGAGTCCTCCACGAGGATCATGGGAGGCTGTGAGCGAGAGCACAGCATTTCTGAGTGAACAGTGGGTGATGTATTTAAAGATGAGGCAAAGAATTTATGAACAAAATGGCAAAATACGCCATGGTTTTTATCATGTTCTCGCTGCAGCACGAGTACAAGAACAACGAGACAAGAGGAGGAGGGAGGCAGCAAGCTCATCTGCTGTCGTCTACTTTGCGAAGACTCGCACTCTTCAAGGCTTTCCTTCCTTCTGCTCAAAAGCCTTTTCTGAAAGTCTATTTGTAACACTGCTTACTTCTTTCCTGCTTCCTTTATCCAACAACACAGTGTGGGTCTGTATCACATCTCTCTACTTTGTAATGAATACGTGCATGTATGTCTGTGTGGAACTGCTTTATGTGGTATGTATGTATCACCGCCAGCTGTAGAGTGAGTCATATTTTCCCTATCAAAAGAAAGGAGACACAAACTCTATAATGTACATTCACCTCCTGACTAAGATATTTGGGAACAGCCTCTTCTTTTTCTCTACCTTTCTTTATGAAATTTCTTCCATGCATATACACACACACACACACATTTCCACAGTTTTAGGACTGCATTACCTTTTATGAAAAACCACACACAATGACATCGGGCCCCAGAAAACCAAATAACCCAGCACCACTCCCCGAGCCATCACACTTGATCCGTGTATGAATGAATCACACTATGCTACCATTTCCCTCTCATCTCCCTTCCTGCCCCCTACAGAACCAGAGCAAAGGCATAGCTCATATTTTCACTGACAAAAGAGGTGACAGTGAAAGGAAAGTGAAAAGGCTATAATAAATGCTACGGCAGAGGTACAAGGAAGAGAGAGCGGCGTTTGAAAAACGGTAACCTTTTTCAGATGCTGATTTAGTATTCATTATTAATGACCTTTCCGTACCTGAGCAAAGCTGTTGCCAGGAAGTCCCCTTCATGTTTGTGTCTGCAGAAGCTGAGGGCAGACACTGCAGCCTTGTTGGCTGATGGATTTCAACACTTTGTACGCGTCTTTCACACGTACACTGTTTAATTTGACCCAGTAAGTACACACGCTGAGTAAAGAATAGTATGAGCATAGTGAGCAAGATGTTAAAGTTCAGAGCAGCATGCTAAACACAAATTAGCGGTCAGTGGAGATTTATGTGTCAGTATTTCCATTGTCTGTCTGTACCTGGCAGGAGAGAAGACAGAACTGGATACAGGCAGACAGGATACTGTCTTCCCTCCGTTCCCCCTCACTCCTCTTGCATTTAACGCTTTCTGTCTCATCAAAAAGCATTCTCATGCTAATTGAACTTAAAGAGCAACGATGCGTATAGAGCACTGCGAGCGCACCTGTGAATGTGTGTGTGTTTGTGAGCTCGAACGATCCCCTCGATTGTGCTCATCCAAGCTCGATTTTCTATTCACAGTGCCTACACACTGACAATCATCCCAACACCGTGAAAGACATACTCCTAAGCACATTCAAACTTCACTGCCAGCCAGTACAGTAAAACTGATCTATCCATCCATCGCTCCACCTGTCTGTTTATCCAGCAATCCCTTCCGTCAGTCTGTCATCCTTTTGTCTGTCTGCCTCCATTCATCTGTCATTATCAGACCAAAAATGTAACTCATACTCCCTCTCCCCAGCCGATAAGACTCTACACATGCATCACTCAGGAGCATTCCACGGGGGACCCGCGATGACACACGCACCAGACTCTGCGAGAACTCAACTCACTTATCCCACTGTTTCTTTTGTTTTCAGTTTTCAGAGACATGAAACATATTTCTATGCAGCCTCCTTTGTCTCACCAAATGCCAAATTATTACATGCAATCATAGGCTCCTCTCTGTGCCGGGGATTTAACTGCACCGTCAATATTCGCTACCAATTCCCTATTTGCAGCCATAATTAGACTGCTTACTGGGATTGCAATGTGAAGAACTTCAGCTAAACTAAAGACTCATTTAGTTTTGACGAAAACAATTGAGAGACCTTGTTTTGCTGTCATCAAGTTATGGTTATAGTTATATAAAAGGCAGGCGCAGCAAGGCTAAACAAAAATGGTGTTTGGTTCTGCACTGTTAGCAAAGCAAGGACAAGTGTATGAAAGTACTGCAAGGTAAACAGGGAAAGCTGACGATGACCATGCCAAAAAAAAAGACGATAAAATATGATGAGGTGTATCTCCCCCTCGGCTTCACCACTACAATGCATGGTGGGTAATGAGGAGACACCACAGTGTGTACTGTCTCATAATGTTAGCGTCTGACAGTCACACAAATTAGGACGCTACTTAGAGACTTCACATTCAGAACACAAAGAGATTCTTGTAGAAATAAACCTACTCGACAGAGACGCTTCACTGAAGAAGCATCTCTACTCGCCTCCTGCAAAGTAGCCCACGAAGATGCTCAGTGTAGAATGCAGCAAACTATAGCCGAGAGATTAACACTTCTGATTGATATGGTTTCAACTAGGCTTACATTTATGACATATCGAAAGCTAAATGTCTGCCAGCTACTTGCCTGATTTATAACTAAATGTCATACTTTCTTTTGTGTGCCCCACATTCACTCAAGGTGAATGGTTGGTGGTTGCTCCTCTTGCTAAGATTGAGACAGTTAAGGGTGAGAAAAGCCCAGTTTTTCACTGTCAACATTTTCACCATTGTTACCTTATTATAGTCCTCTGCTTGTCGCCATAGCTGTAGCACTCCATATAGTGTGTATCTACAGAGGAACGCAAATTAAGGCACAACCTAAGACTTTCAGTCCTGTTTGTTTTGTGGACACTTGTGGTCATGAGGATGGTTTATCACTACAGGATCCAGAATTCTGAGGTCAGGAAAAAATCTGAGAGCTTCTACTTTGTCAGAAATAGAAACAGGAGCCGGATGTACCATCTGATCAATTGTTCAGACTTAGCCTAGTAACATAATACAGTGTTTACTAAATGAAGTTTGATGCATCACCTAATGACAACCACACAAAGAAATTACTACATTTGGATTAGTTGTAACCAAATATTTGGAGCCAGTAACCGTCAGGTAAATCTGACAAACAGACCAGTGTAACATTAGTTAGATAATGTTTCTGCCCTCACACGGAGTTCGTGATCTTGTGGTTATGACGTACTGCGTACACCTTATGCTTGGTGCTGAAGTGATAAAGTCATGAGGAATCTTTTGCTCTGCATCAGCAGCATGGATGCTACTATCAGCGTCAGTGTTGCCATCTTGCCACAGAGGATAACAATTCAGAAAGCTAAAGCATAAAGTAATACACTAACATAATGCAGGAAATGCATGATAAGAGGGGAAGTATGAGCCCTGTGGAAATATCAACATTTTTCTCTGACATGTAAAATTCCTAAGAGAATCTATACGAATAAAATGTATCCACTTACCATGTGACGAAAATGACCTTCCTTGGCCTCCACCATTTCTGAAAACGTCAGCAAACACGTCACAGCTCCTGAACTTTGACCTTTCAGATGTTCCAAACATGACGTTCATATGGACACTTCTTATAACCAAGGTAAACACGACTCCACTTGAAGGCAGCATTCAATCTGTTTAGAGTGAAGAGACAAAGATAATATGGAACACGGTTGAAATACAGTATCTGACCAGAAACTTATAAATGAGGTTTAATGTCATGACCCTTTGACTAAATTAGTAAATAACGTCTCTTTAGTTAACATAAGTCTGTTCATTCCGAACTGTTTGAACACGATCTACTCTTTTACACATATTTCTCTGTGCACACAGACATAGATATATACATATATAAATATATTATACATACAAAAGATAAATAAATTGTAAAATTGTACTGTAGTTTGTGTACTCTATTCTTTTAGAGTTTCTACCTTGTGATCCTACAGTGACATCTTGTTTACGTTTCTTTTGATATTACTATATGTATAGATATGCATAATAAATCACCATTCTGAAACTAGTTTGTAGCTGTAAAGAATTTATTTATTTATCCATGTTTAAACTTGCACATCATAGCTAGTCCAGATGAAGGTAACACTGTTACTGATGATGAGAAATACTACAGATAAAGGAAATATGATATAAATACGGTGAATGGCTTAAGCTTATAAAAACACTGTCCACAAATAAATAAATAAAATAATGACCAAAATGCCAATGTACAAATAAAATAATGAATAAGAATACACTCAACACAATACTATATTACCTGTCGTATGAGGACAAGTTTTGTCATATCATCACTATCTACGTATTTTTTTCTGTTATAGTTGTTTACAAATACATTAATAAACACCTACTTACAATGACAGTATACTATAGTGTGTTATGAACCATTTATTAAATGTTTTTACTCATTTTACTGCTTATATGGGCCTTGAAATAGTGTTGCCAGGAAAATCAGTGATGGATTTCGATTACTGTCCTGTTGCCTGACAATTTTTGGGGGCTACCGGCCTTAAATATATATCTTATCCATAAACCTGTCACTGCAGCATTGTTTCAGCTGTGTGTGTGTGTGTGTGTGTGTTAACAAATAAATTCTCAGTTGATAGAGTTTCTGGGTCACATGATTAAAGACAGGCTGTATTTGCTTTTGCATTTTGTTATTTTTCACTTTTCTGACAACCATCATAAGTGAATTTGAAAATTTGAAATATAATAAAAATACATATGAATAAGCGCATGCACAAAGTGTTCTCACACACACACAGTCACACACTTCCCCACATGCAGCGACAATAGACTATACCTCATCCTTACTCTAGACACTTTTTGCCCAAGGGTATACCAGAGAACCAGGTGTTATCGCGCTCCCCTGTGAGTCCCACTTTTCTCCTCTGAGCAATTAATGACACAGTGGAGCCAGAAATTCTGGCCCCAAAATGGCTGCCTATCTAGAATGGAGGTGTCAAATCACCCTGACAACCAGGTCAAGCCCTCTGAGTATCATCAGTGTGCACCAACAAAGCCAGGGGTCAGAGTTCACCTCACCTTGTGACCTCTCTGTGGAATTGATCTGTTGTAGTGGAAATAGGATTTTGGGGCTGCATAATTCAGACAGCAGCCAGACGCTGAAGACATTTTCTGTCTTGAATGAATGACCAGATGACTCACAACAACAGACACGACTGTATGGTCTTACAGCCACAAAGGAGCTGCAGCAGATTTAGGTTGATTTTCTGTTGGTTGTTTTGGAGTCTGAAAGCCTGTGTGTAGGTGCAGCTATGTACGGAGTCACTTTCCCATTCACTTGAATAGGAATATGGTCTCAGACTTTTGGACTGTATGTGTGATGTTGTCACAAAGCTGGAATTTGTCGAGAGGCTTGTGTTTTCAGGGCAGGGAGTCAGTCGAGGAGAGGAGCTGTCAGCATGGCTGTGCAGCTGGCATTCAGCACGAGCAGGGACGCCCACCCATGTCAAATGTCACAGCACTAATCTCTTTCCAATGCAGCCCAGGTATAACCGCAGGGGCGAGAGACAGACACACCTCATTGCTCCACAGAATGAGATTCCCGGGAGGCTCTTCAATTCACAAATCAACAGGCTTTATTTGAATAAAATTCATAGCATCCTGTCAGTATTGTTTTGTGCTCAGCTGTGTGCTCATTTTAGGAATTTTAGGCAACAGATGTAATACAGCAATTTTCCAATTCTTATTTTCCTCCATTCTTTTGCATTCCTTCTGGTCACTGGAGTGTGATGCCGTGTATGATTATACAGTTTGTTAGATGTGAGCTACAATACTTTATATTTTTATAAGCATATCATTTTCTAGAGTATCATCTCTGTGTATTAAAATAAACAAATGCTGAAAGACATATTTTACGGGTTATAATGTGAGAGTGAGTGCATTTGTGGCTTTGTTTGTTTTTGCCCAAGGAGATAATATGCTGCTTCTCATCCCCGTGTCAACTAGATTCCACTGTATGACTGTTCATTCCACACATGACCCAATAAAATACATTTCTCCTCAGGAAATTAAGAAATATTCCATCTCCCAATTACAGGCTATGATTGTATGAGTCGCGCATATTTGTTTGTCCTTTCTTATTAATGCCTTCATAAACAAGTCATTATATACGTAAACTTGAGGGTTTTGCATTTAATGAATATGATAATTCCACATACATAATATGTAAAATCCTTTCCTTATGTCAAGAATGCTGTGTGCTTTCTATAAGACAGCACACACATTTTTTAATGGCTGCTTTATTTTTTTCTCGGTACATCCCCCCCAATCTCTTACAAATTGGTGCTAATCAAGTGAAAGGGGACGCTCCTGCCCTCCTTGTCCCTCTGAACAACCCAAGAATGGAGTCATGTGCCTGCCATTTCCTAAGTCCTTTGCGCTCTTCCCCCTAAATTACTGGGAGGTGATATACAGCCTGTGTGTCCCAAGGCTACAGGAGATTTAGAACTTTGTCCCACATGAAGGAGAGGTGAAAAAAGACATTACTATGCAGAATAGGTAATATTAAAAGGAGCCCTTTATGGTACCCCATGCAGATTATCAATCTATTTGTGTAACTTGGCTACCCGGATTTTCATTTCCCCTTTTCATTTATTTGCCTTACTGCAACCGTTTACAGTGCTGAAACTAAAAATTGAAGCCATGATGAGCGGGGGAGCAATATTTCAAGGGCAAAATAGACCTCCTCTGCTGTGTGATTGCAAAAGATTCATTGTGGGTGGGGCGGGTGGCGGTGTGTGGCTGAAGTGACCTCTTTTTTGAGGGGCTCAGTGGAATATTTTGAGAAAAGCAGGGTATCCACATAAGGCCATTTACACTTTGTTCATAGAGCCTTCTTATAGACCCTAAGCTTTGTTAAGTGTTCTTGGAAATTCATGCAGGCTCCTCGTGTTTTAAAGGAGCACTACTTGTCAGTGTTGCCTTGCATTTAATTCAGCACCATGGACAGAGGCTTACATTTGTTATCATTGCCGTATGTTAGCTTCAGCACCAAGGACAGAGGCACAGCTCCCTCAGTATTTCTCTGTATAATAGCTCTTTGACGCTGTCTTATAATTTCAATCTAATATGGCTGCAATATTAATACAAACCAACCTTGATTTATTTCATGAAGGAGCTTTGGAACCTGAATAATCATTTAGCTATGTACATAATAAATCATTTTATCGCATCACACAGATTTGGGGGGTTTAATGTATTGAGTTTAGAGAAGGAGAGAGTAAATGTGAAAATACTTTGACAGACTGGGGTGCTATATTGACCTCAGCACCACAGTGCTGTGAGCACAAATGATTTGCTACAGCCACACAGTCGTGTCTGAGTAGCCAAACGGATTGAAATAAGTACCATTTGGGGAGCGAGGACACACTGTTACAAGTCCTGCTCCTTAATTGCATGTTATTATTATTATTATGATTATCATTCTGATGGGCCCAGTCCCCATCTCACTTCAGGGTGACACTGAAAACATTTCACAGTGGCTCACAGGTAGGTTGTGTGACGAGAGAGACTGTGAGGGGACCATCATGGCACCATACCTTACATAATCATAGCGGCAGTACCCACTGAACATAATTACTATGATTTGTGCCCTCCCATTTCACGCTTGTATTAAAAAATATTGCTGAAGGTAAGTCAGGCGTGAGCGCGGCGAAGGCTGTTGTGGTGAATGGAGTGTGGCCCCGGGGAAAAGCTTGGAGAGCAGAGCACGGTGTCATGCCAAAGAAAGCCAAGTCCCCCACCACCACCACCACTACCCCTCCATCCCACCCCCATCCCGCTGGGGCCCGGTCATGCCGTGAGAACGGGATGACATTACCGGGCCATTTAGCTGGCGGAAGAGCAGTGAGAGGTGAGAGAGGCACTGTGTGTGTCGCTTTTGTTATTTAATGGTTGGCTAATGTCTAGGCAGAGGGGGGTGTGCCTCGTAGCCAAAAATGAAAACAAATAGGTCAACATTATGAGCCTTGGATGTCGCTGCTGTACTGCGAGGCCTTTAGGGTGCATGATTTAACTGAAGACACTGGAGCATAACTGGAGTGGCATTACCATTTAATTTTGCTCAACACTCGAGTATAGTTCAATGTCTTGTGACTCATGTACCCTACACTTTACTCTGTGGTATGATATGAATGTGACATATTGCATCATCATACCTTCACTTTAGCAAGGACCAAATAATCTGTATGGTCTTACACGCGGTTTTCTGTGTGTGTTCCATACATATTGGAATTATATATATATATAAATATATAATTCTTCTTCTTCATCTTTCGGCTGCTCCTTTTCGGGGTCGCCACAGCGGATCATCTGCCAATATATCCACTACCCCTCCTATTTGTGATCCGCATGTTTGTTTTGGCACAAGTTTTACGCCGGATGCCCTTCCTGACGCAACCCTCACCATTTATCCGGGCTTGGGACCGGCACTAGAACTACCCAAAAGAGTATCCCTAGTGGCTGGTTTATATATAAATATATAATTAAACATGTTTCTTTTTATTTTTTGTGTTTCTGTGTGAAATTGGGGCCACATTGTAACCTATACCAGAAAGTATAATACTATTCTCAATAATGTTTTCAATACTATTTAAAA